GACAGAGGAGCATGCTGAGTGCGCACTCTCCTGAAGTCAACAACAATCTCCTTCGTCTTCTCCACATTCAGAGAGAGATTGTTGTCACTGCACCACCCGGCCAGGCGGCTCACCTCGCTCCTATAGTTTGTCTCATCTTTGTTGCTAATGAGACCCACTACAGTCGTGTCATCCGCAAACTTAATGAAGAGGTTGGAGTTGTGTGACGGTGTGCAGTCGTGGGTCAGCAGAGTGAAGAGGAGGTATATTACAAATACCATGGTTAAACTATGGTTAATGTAGCAAAACCATGGTTAATTTGTGGTTACCATGGTTTAACTGCTGTACCCATGGTTTTTTGGTTTTATTTTAGTTAAACCATGGTTAATTTTTGCAAGGGAAGGTAGTCCAAAGTCCAAAACACTAGACATAGACATCTACCTTCTTGCATCCACTTGTTGTTACGTTTACTGTTTAGTAAACTAGTCAGGTTGTGGAGAAGTTAAAACGTTTTTTACGAGTTTTGATTCAAACTGAAACAACAAAATATGAAGTTGTAGTTCCCTTTAGAACGGTCTCTCCCTTTGTGTTAACGCTATGGGAAACTCATGTTTACTCTGATACTGAAGCCTGATTTGATCACATTTGTGTAGCTGCACGAATCAATGGTGCTTCAAACTGCCAAAAGGGGTGGAGCCGACTGCTATATAAGTCGGCTCTGAGCGCCATTTCGTCCGAATGTTTCTCCTTCAGCGACGAAGACCATCTCCTCACTGGACTCTGAAGCAGGAAGTCGAAGCAAGAAGCTCTGCTGCTGCTGCTCGCGGGGACTCCCTTCATGATGCAGATGCATTGCCTGTCTGGGCAGCACCCACACAGAGACTGCGATCACCAGAACGGAATCCTCACACTGAGAGCATGAGTCTCGCCCTTCTCCGCTCGTGAATCGCCTTCTTCAATGAAGGCAGCCCCGCTCTCCCGTTTCTCCCCTCTCAGCTAGCTCGGAGAAGAAACAGTGGAGTCACGGGGCAGAGCAACCGGGGCTTGAGTGATCTCACGCTGGCACAGGTCCTGCATGCTCACTCTCCCTGCAGCACTTTGATCTGCCGGTGTGTTTTACACGAGAGGATCAGCACCCCTCATGACACCTGACTTCCTTCTCCCCAATGGGTCATTACGAGCTGGCAGAGAGCGGACTGATTCACATCCTCACCAGGCAGTGGAGAATCTCGGCATAGAATGGTCAGCCGGAAGAGCCTGCCCGCTTAGATGAATTGATGCCCGCTGGGCCATCGTCAACGAATCTCCCGCTAGAGACCGCCGCTGTTTTTCCCAGAAGTTCACAACGATCTCACCAAGGCATGGCGTGCCCCTACTTGGTGCTTGTCCACTTTTCTAATTCTGCCGCCCTCACCTCTGTTGACAGCACTGAAGAAAAAGGGTATGGCAAGCTCCCCCCTCGAGAAGAGGCGGTCGCTGCACACTTCTACCCGCCATCTGCTTGGCAGATTTGCAAAGCACTTCACTGCAGCTCAGAAGTTATCACAGGTCATGTGCCACTTCCTGCCTAAGCGCTCGAGCACTGCAGAATGAGGTTACTTGCTCCAGTTTGCTCGCAGGCTGCTTCGCTTCAGAGGTATTATTCAAACTTCGGTACAGGACAACGATGCTCACGTTCTCCAGTCTGAAGTGCAAACACTGCTTGCAAAAGGAGCCGTAGAAACGGTTCCTCTAGTGAACAGCGAGTCAAGCTTTTACTGCCGCTACTTCCTTGTTCCCAAAGAAGATGGCGGGCTCAGGCCCATTCTCGATCTCAGGCATCTGAATCGCTGGCTCATGAGACAGCCGTTCAAGATGCTTACTTTGAAACAGATCCTCGTGCAAGTATGCCTTGGGGACTGGTTTATATCGGTGGATCTGAAATATGCCTACTTTCACATCCAGATAGCCCCCTATCACAGACCGTTCTTGAGATTTGCGTTAGAGGGAGTGGCCTATCAATATATAGACCTGCCATTTGGACTGTCTCTGGCCCCACGCACTTTTACGAAGTGCGTAGTCACAGCTCTCTCCCCTCTGAGGCAGATGGGAATCCGCATCATGAATTACCTTGATGATTGGTGGCCACACTCTGGAGGAATCAGACATGGTTCCCCGAGTTGATTCAGCTGCTATCGGCAGCCCCCTGGCCGATACCATTGAGGAAGGACCTCCTCTCGCAAGCGAAGGGCATGATTTTGCATCCCTGGCCAGAGCTGTGGAGCCTTCATGTTTGGCCCCTCGACGGGAGTCTTTGCAGCTTCCCGCGAGTGTAACCAATAACATTTTGGAGGCTACAGCTCCGTCTACAAGATGTTTCTACTCTCTTAAATGGTCAGTCTTTTCTGACTGGTGTGCAGCATGGAATCAGGA